CATAAAAATACATTTGTTTAGATAAAAAGAAATGAATACTCAATTCACCAAGCAATGTACAGAGAATTCAAAATACAGATTAAACAATATATATATATATATATATATATATATATATATATATATATATATATATATATATATATGTAGAGAGAGAGAGAGAGAGAGAGATTTCTAAAAAATTGCGAAAATTGCGTATTTAGCTTTGAAAAATTCGTAAAATTTTTAGAAATTTCGATCTATTATACTCATAGTGATATATATTTTCTAAATATTGGTGCAGTTAAATTTATTCGCGCCCCAACTTATGGAAATTATGAAATAATATATATGACAACTGTAATTCTTTTTTCTTATATGTAGTGAGGATTTCTACGAATTTTAAAATAGAGAAAATTAGAAAAATTACATTTAGTGAATTTAAAAATCTAAACTTAAAGATAACAGTCTGTACTAAATTTAAAAGGGTAAACTTCCTCGACGTAACTCTAGATTTAACAAACAACACATACCAACCTTATAAAAAACCAAATACTAACCCCTTGTATATACACCCGAAGTCAAACCACCCTCCATCCATAATTAAACATATACCCTCATCAATAGAAAATAGAATCAGCATAAAATCCTCTAACAAAGAAATATTCCAACAACACACTAACGTTTATGACGGAGCCCTAAAAAATAGTGGATACAAGAATGCAAACATTAATTATAGAAACAACTGTACTCACCAGGGGAAAAAAAACAGGAAAAGAAAAATCATTTGGTATACCCCTCCGTTCAACCAAATGGTTAGTATTAAGCTAGGATAGAAATTCCTAGCTTTAATTGAAAAAAAACTTCCCTACCAATAGTAGACTTAGTAAAATATTTAATAAGAACACCCTAAAATTGAATTACAGCTGCACTGAAAATCTAGAAAGTATAATAAAAAAAATAATAAAATCCTGAACAAGCCCCCATGCCTGAATAGTATTAATAAAAACCCTACACTTAAATTGGACAATAACAGTGAAAAATTGTGTAATTGTAGAAACCCAGAAGACTGCCCATTGGAAAATAAATGCTGCGTCAAATCTGTGGTATACCAATGTACTATCTCATCCATTGAGAGCCCTAATACTAATACGATTGTGTCTACGAAGAATGAATTTAAAGCCAGATGGAGGCAGCATAAGTGCTCTTTCAACAATATAAATAAAAGAAATCAGACATCTCTATCTAAATATTTTTGGCATTTGAAGGAAATGAATAGGACACCTGAAGTAAAATGGAAAATTATAAACAGGACTAGAACTTGTAAAACTTGGGATGACCCATGCCCTTTGTGCCTCCATGAGAAACTGCACATTATTAAGTTTCTAAATAATAAAAATCTATTAAACAATAGACATGAGTTAACGGTTTTTTGCCGACATCATCAAATTTTTGTATTGAATAATTAGCATAAAAAAACATACAATAAAATAATTTTTATGATCCATAGCCCTAATAAATAGTTTAAATACCCTACAAAAAAAGATAACCCTTTATGAAGTCGTCAAAAAACAAATGTTACGGCAGTTTTTTTTATATACACAAAACCCTTTCAGAAAGAAATAAAATAAAAAAATAAATAAATCTCTATAGACACGTAAAGCAGACTAGGCGAAAACATCTTCTGTTTTAAATTTAGACACCCCTATCTTACCCTGACTATGAATGTAACTCTATACTAATACAAATTATTAACACCTAACACCCATCCTTATTTAAACAATCGCTGTGGCTGTTACCATGGAAATTTTGATTTCAATAATGAATATGCTATTAAAACACGTAAATTTCAGAAATAAGTTATTCCCAAAAAAAATTTCGCTTGAAGATGGAACAGAGCTTACTTTAATTCAATTTAATTCAAATACTTATATTGAAGTTTTCGGCTCTTGTTTTGAAATATGAGACCTCTTATGTAGCGTGTTGGAATCATATTTTTAAATAAATAATTATATATATATATATATAAATCATATTTTTAAATAAATAATTATATATATATATATATATATATATATATATATATATATATATATATAATTATTTATTTAAAAATATGATTTTTAAATAAATAATTATGTATATATATATATGTATATAGCGTGTTGGAATCATATTTTAAATAAATATATATATATATATATATATATATATATATATATATATATATATATATATATATATATATATATATAATTGTTTATTTAAAAATATGATTCCACATATATATATATATAATTAATTATTTAAAATTTATTTAATAATTATATATATATATATATATATATATATATATATATATATATGTATATATATGTTGGAATCATATTTTTAAATAAATAATTATATATATATATATATATATATATATATATATATATATTTTTAAATAAATATTTTATATATATATATATATATATATATATATATATATATATATATATATATATATATATTTTATTTATTTAAAAATATGATTCCAAATACGCTAAATACTAAATATATATATATATATATATATATATATATATATATATATATATATAAATTATTTATTTAAAAATATGATTCCAAATACGCTACATAAGAGGTCTCATATTTCAAAACAAGAGCCGAAAACTTCAATATAAATATTTGAATTAAATATATATTATATATCTAAAAGGAAGAGGTTATAGTAGTTCCAGTGAGAGAAAAGTGTGTACATTTTCTTGAACTAATCTTAATTGTTTTATAAACCATCACGCTGAACTTTTCCCTGCCAGTTCAAGAAATACATTTTGGTCACTAACACAAAAAAGAAATTGTCTCATATAGAGAATATTTAACATCAAAAACATAAAGGAAAAAATATTTTTAATAATATGTGGAAATCTTCACCTTTGCCTGTAGACGGTCGCGAGACCAGAAACACGTGTTGCCAAATTATGGAAAATGAAACATATTTATTTTAAATCCACTTTTAAAACCAAAAACGTTTGCGGCTTCTCCTTCTTTTTTTTAATATATATATATATATATATATATATATATATATATATATATATATATATATATAGAGAGAGAGAGAGAGAGAGAGAGAGAGCGAGATATATATATATCATTAGTCCCAAGTTGATTCTCCAATGTACGAAATTTCTTACTCTCGGAGCATCTCACTTATTTAAAAGTAACAAGTTTTAAATCTTAAATATATTGTCGCATAAAAATCACGAAAATCCTTAAAGTTTTTTTCCGCCGTTCTTTCCATTTTGGAGGGCGATGTCGATTGCTTCCTTTTCATCTTCTTAATTTTTTTTTTTTATGTCAATATGTTATTTACATATTTCTTTGTAGTTCGGGTATGATAACAGCACCAAAATCAGAACCTGTATTTTTCTGCTTAATGAGTAACTTGGTGCTAGCGTCAGCCCTATTGAATCTCACCAGGTTGACACAAACACCAAATTACTCACTAAAAAATGTCGGGTGAGGAAGCATTACTTTTTTCTGTTCTTGTAAGCATCATCTGGTTTCCAGTTTCTCACGAGCATTAAGCCGGTTCAACAAGAACAGAGATTACGTCTGGTTTTCATTCATTGGATCCATTAATCTATTCTTTTTTTTTCTCTTTCGTTCTTTCTCTTTCTTTAATTTCTTGCTTTCCTTTGTTCTTGCTTTTTTGTCGTCCCTCTTTTCTTGTTCGTTCATCTTCAGCTTCCTTCCTTCTTTCTATCAAATGACACTTTTGTTTTATGTTATTCTATTCTCGTGTTATCTTTCTATGCTTATATTATTCCCTTTACCCCGCTTTACTTTATTATGATTATCCTTTTTAACTTAACTTTTTATTTCTTTATTCTTTTTTTCTCTTTTCATGTTCCTCCTCGTCTTCTTGTTCTTTCTTTCTTTCTGTCATTTTCTAATCTGTTTCTCATTTATTTATTTCTCTCTTTTCTACAGTTTATTATTCCTCCACAATTCTGCTGCATTTTACATGTATCTTGAAGCTTTGAAATGTGCCAAATTTTCGATTATTTTTTTGCCTTTTGATTGAAAAATTAAATTAAATGGTTAATTAATCGAGAAACGCATCAGATTCCTTTAAATTTAATTCCGCAATCACAAGAATTTGTAAGATATATTGGAATATCTAAATCGCAAAATTAGCACCGAAATAAATTTATAATTAATCTTAAATTTATCAAAAAATCTACTCATCTTAAAAATATATATAAATCAATTTATCAAAGAATAATACAAATTCTAAAATCACACCATTTTAATAGAAACCCAAAATAAATGAAACCGAATCGACTTTTATACAAGCAAAAATAATCAACAATTTCATGTGACCATTCTCACATGAATGAAAGTAATAATGATAATAATAAATACGTAAGAATCTAGAATTTTGGGTGGCTTAATTCGAGCCCTCAAAAAGTCTGAAAATTTCAACTTCTTTTTCAAGAAGAGAAGAAAATATCAGATATGAAGGTCATAAATTTATATTTTGGAAATTCCACAGAGAATGTTGATAAAAATTTAGTTTGAATGCATATTATATTTATCGGTCAAATTTATCAATAAGAGGCACAGAGCGTATGTTCTATAAAAATGGACACTGAGGGTCAACAGCGCGTGCCGACTGTTTTATGTTTGGTCACTAACTTCCTGACCTGTAGATTGTGTTTAAGGATGAAACAGATTGTCGTCACTTGGTGTTTTTTTCAATACCCACTATATATATATATATATATATATATATATATATATGGAGGGGAATCGAGCGATTTATGTACACAATTAGTGAGAGAATGTGGCTAATAAATGCATAGTAATTATAAATATATACATATAAAACCAATCACCAATATATATATATATATATATATATATATAACGTCATCCACATCATATATATATATATATATATATATATATATATATATATATATATATATATATATATATACGTTAGGCTAGAAAGAACAAAAAAAAAACAATGAGTAGGGAAAAGAAAAGAAAAGAAAGAAAGAAAGAAAGAAAGAAAGAAAGAAAGAAAGAAAGAAAGAAAGAAAGGAGATGCTGTTTGATATTTATAAAAAAAAAGAAGTTTTATGCCATACTAAATAAGCACTAGTCGGTGATCTTGTTCGGCTTATTTACCAGGCCTATATAGAAACTAATAGAATACTAGTAGAATAATATTTTCTTTCTATACTTACCTCTGCTTGTCTCATTCACTCCCGGTATATCTTCACGCCATAGAACCAAAGCGATCATTGTGTAGGTAAATGCCATCAGACAAAACGGCAGGAAGTAGAGACCGATTAAGAGGAACATCTGGTAAATGAACTGAGACCTTCCGGACCAACTTGGGCGGCAAGACAAGAGTAACTGGACGTCGTTGTAGTACGCCGGTAAGGTGTGGTATAGTTGGGCAGTGATCAAGTCTGGTACAGCGACGCAAGCTGAAAAGACCCAGATCGAGAAGATGATGTTGCGGGCCCGTGACGGGGTACTCTTGAAAGAGAGCGGATGGCAAATAGCATACCATCTCTCGATGGAGATAGCACTCAGAGTCAGCACAGATACAGCCACGGAAACTGTCTGGAAAATAAAAGAAAAATACATCACATTGAAAAAGATTTGAATAAATGCTATAAACGTAAATCAATGAATGAAAAAAGTAATGATATTTGGAAATTCCTCGTTAAAATAAACAAAAAAAACATGGGAAAGCAGTCGTGTGGTACCACCTGCACGCAGGTGATGATGGGTGGCTAGCCACTTTTAACATTCCATCGTTTGAGCGACTATCAAAGAGCAACGAGGTCAGACGTATGAACGCTCCACATAGCGATGGGAAAAAAAAGCGCCATATTGCGCGTTTTGTGCGCAGAGACAGAGTCCAACATATAGAAATCCGTCACCGGATGTTGGCACAGTATGGGTCGCGCATCATGAATGAACGTAAGATGTATTAGCTTTAAAGCGAAAAGAACATGCGTGAAGCTATGGACCGTGGTTCGAATCGCGACAGGCGACAAGACATGTGTCTACCACTACGAACCGAAGAGCAAAAGACAAAGCATTAATTTTGAAACTTACGTCGTGCTCTGGTCACAAGAAATTCAAATAGCAGCTTGATGACTACATTTTGTTAAAGGAGAAACTTGCGTCGCAGTGTCAGCTCGGATGGTAAGTCCCAACATGTGGTGTAGACAGAGCTTAATGAGCAGATCGGAATTTAAAAGCTGCGTTATGTTGAAAAATGACATATGCATTTATTCCTCGTCAATGAAAATATAGTTATTCTAGGGAAATTGGCTTTCCATTTTGTTTTAACCTCACATACAAGACAAGTTAAACATGTGAAATCATGTCCAACATTTATTTTATATATATATATATATATATATATATATATATGTGTGTGTGTGTGTGTGTGTGTGTGTGTGTGTGTGTGTGTGTGTGTGTGTGGAACATTATTACTTATTGTAATATTAGCAAGTTCTAAGTATATACATAAGAAGCCATCCTCATTTTCTCATGCATTTAGCATGTGGAAATGTAATACATACATATATATATATATATATATATATATATATATATATTTCTTTTATTTATCATATCATTTCAGAACATTTCCGATAGTGGTTCTCAATAAGGATTTTGATGCTGTAGATGGTTCTTGAATTTCTATCGTCACCTTTCCACGTTATTTCAAACAGAAATTTAATTTTTACCTTTCAGAGTTTCTTTATAGTTCCTATTTGCTATCAGAAATCCACATTGCTCAGATATTTATCTATGGTTTCTTTGCTCATAGCAGTTCAACCGCATCTGTCAAGCAATCACTATCTTATAAGAAATTTGATATATAGTACAGCAGTAATTTTGTCATTTTCTATCTCTTAAGACGTTACTTAGTTATTGAAGGGCATCCTTACTTATTGCAATGCCACTTGAAATATTCATATGACTTTTAGTTTGCAATGCATTATTAATGCTAAAGATTGACTTTACGTGTTTATATATGGTGAGTATTACACGATATTCTTTAAGAGAACGAAAAGGTTACTGCGCTTGGCCCCCTTTTTGATGCAAGAACACGTAGAATCTGAAGTTCTTCGTGACTGGACTTTTATAAAATGCTAGACAAGTCGCAGTATTTTTGTACATGATGAGAACTGTATTAGCTGACGGATGGCAGAGAAATCGATACCTAATTAATATCGACTGGGTCACCATGAAGAAGAAGGGGTATGACGTTGAAATGCTCGAAACGCATACGGATTCCCGGCTAAAAATATTCCGATATGTGCTAAACCATCAAAGAGATATATTTCACGAAATATACATACATATATATATATATATATATATATATATATATATATATATATATATATATATATATATATATATATATGAGTGTGTGTGTGTGTGTGTGTGTGGTTTCAAGTGATGCGATATCCATAGGGTTTAAGTGAAATATAAGGGTAATATGGGGAATAGAGAGTATGTAAATATAAGTTGTGTGGACACAGATTTCAGCACTGAATGGTTAAACAGTGTTTGATGTTTAACCACAGTCTTCAGAACAAGTGGGTCGGATAGTAATTCTACTATTTATATATATATATATATATATATATATATATATATATATATATATATATATTAGTCATTGAGGCATTATAGTTAGTAAAATCAGTTACTCCCATTGTATTGTATTATTCTAATGTCTGTTGAATTGGCGGAAACCATTATTTGCAGTTATTCGGCTATTTATAAGAAATAATGAGCTGGAAAAGGGTTATTTCTTAGCTGGATAGGGGGTTTTAACTTTTAAATTACCTCCATATATTGTTAATTACTTCAGCGTAATTTATATTCATTTGTCAATTATTTGCAACTGATTATTATTATTATTATTACTTTTAAGTCTATATAGTTTCATTCGTACTTCTTGTCTATATAATTAGGACATCATTGTTTAATGCATTCATACTTTAAAGAACGTTACATTAATTGAGTTTTATATAATATCTGTATTTTCATTTTTTTAATGACCCTTTACCAAATATGAATATTTCGTTCTCAAAATTATTTATTTAATAAATTTTAATTGATAAGTTTTGATTTTTATTTAGTAGTCTACTTTCGTTGACGAAGGCTATTGTCCCCTCTTTTCTGTTTGAAGAATCTTTGAGTTACTCCTGTGCATATTTCCTCTACGTTATCTAATCTTTATTATCGGGGCATTGTATACTAGATTACTCTGCAGATAATTGACATTTAATAGATATCCACAGTTTGTTCTGTATTTCTTTGTATATTTGGCTGACATGGGTAATCTGATACATATGTTATGTGGTGCTTTTTATTTTCTGTGTCATATTCTCAGGGCAACTACAGCAGATTTTTAATTGTATATTTTGTGGAGAATACTTGAATTGGCAGATGAGTTTAATGTATATATTTCCTACATTTGTCTTTAAGTTTTTTTGTTACTTGATGTTTCGTTTTCTGGTAGCTTCTTTTGTGATGTGTGTTGTGTATGTGTGTATTGCGGAAATTCCACCATCCTTTAGGGGTATTTCATAAACATTTTGTTAAAAAATAGCTTAATTAGAAGAATTGTCAGGAAACTTACAGTTAATTCCTTGTACGATATGCTTAATTATTGTTGATGGTTGGTTGGAAATTTTTTGTATGTAAAATGCTTTGTCGTTGGTTTTAACTTTACGGCTGATATGTAGGTTTTCTGACATTGTGTCTAATGTCTAGAATATCTGCTTCTTCTACGATGGTTTTTTCGGTCAATTCCTATATATTTCTTTTTATGATTATTTATATGGGGAAAATATATGACAAAGTAAAAAATATTTTCTTTTGACGCGATTACATATGCACACGAACGAGTGATGCTTGGAATACAAGGATTTATTCGAATTTTCTCAATGTATGATATTAAGTTCGTTCGTATACACCCAGGTACCCCGATGATAACTGTACTAACAGTAGCCTCAATTCCACAGATTCTGGCAACTTAATTGCGAATTCCCATTTGGTGTCTATGAGTAATGATGGCACTGTAAGAGAGTTATCTATGTATATTTGGATCGTTTCGCTTAGATCGAAAGGGGTGTAAGGATGCTAACTGCAGTTCCGTACAAAGTAAACGGAGATGCTGATGTATCCAGGAAATTTACTTCATGTGACTTTCACTATGCTTAGTTATCATTCCAGTTGTCTTTATCACAACAGGTAGAATTGTAGTTTAAATTTTCCACATTTCCCTATTTGCACATCCTTATAATTTGACAGTTCTGAAATTCTGTTTTTTTTTATAAACATTAGAATCTTGTTGGTAAGGCATATCAATTAGTTGGCAGGTAATTTTGCTGAAATTGTTTATGACTATGTCTTTTCTAGTTGCATCAATTTTCCATTCTGTGAGGGTTGGCGAATTCCACGCTAAAGTTACCCCATTACCATTTGTGAAATAATTCATGTGATGTTCGTACCATCTATACAGCGCTTCAATAACACAGTTCGAGTCGACATCACATTTAATATAATAATAATAATAATAACAATAATAATATTTACAACAACAACAACAACAACAAAATACCCGGAAACAATCGATCATCTTGTATCAGGTTGCGCGGTATTGACACCCACTGAATAGAAAACCCGGCATGACAGATTGGGCCAATATCTGCACTGGAAAATCTGCAACTTTTACGGGAAGGAAACTGAAAGAAACTGGCATGAATATCATCCAGACCCGGTTACGGAAATAGGAGATATTTGTATGGCAGTCGCTGCTGACTGCAATGTATCTTTGAAGATATTCAAAAAGTTGTCAAAGTACAAGGACCTTGAAATAGAAATCTCGAAAATGTGGCATATGGGAACATCAACAATCCCTGTTGTAGTTGGAGCCCTAGGACTGGTTGGAAAAGATTGCAGTAGACTAATTTAAGGGATTCCTGGAAGTCCATGCTTCAAGGAGATACAAAAAATTGTTCTTACAAGTACAGCCCACACCTTACGAAGGGCTTTATCTATGTAATCATTTTTTTTTTTTTTTTTGTCAGTGGAAAGTGTCATGACGCCATTTCTAAACTTAGGTCCCTGGGCGGGACCCGGAAAGGAATGTGTAAACGTCAGAAATCAAAGAAAATAAAAATAAAATAATAATAATAGTAATAATTTTGTTTCCGAAAAATACAAAAATTGAAATTGTTATTTATTCCAACTATATGGAAAAGTTCAAATTTTTATGACTGCATAGACGTATATTTAGAAGTTAATTTTAAAGAAAGAAAAACCATTCATTTGCTTCAGAATTAATGAAAAGTGCCATTGCCAGATCGGAATTTAAATTTTTTTCATCATGGAATTTTGAAGTAACTGATCAAGAATCTGTCTGAAAACCTTTTTCGCATACATTCCGTACGTTGTACAAAGAAAATATAGCAAAAAAGTGGATTTCAAAGATCAGCAACTAATAGAAAACTCTAACGATGTAATAGGACTATTCACAATATTGACCAAAATATCAGTTTCGGAAAGAATATTTGGGATTTTACGGGAATTTGAAGAGGAGAGTG